CAATAATCAGACAAGAATCCGGCATTTTAAGGGTATGAAGATGTGACTGCATTGTCGTTAACTTCAAAGGAGGGACTTCGCCGATAACTGGTACCTGCAGAAAGACGCTCAGTATATCTTCATAAGTGCTAAGCGATAGTTGAACAAAGTGTGTCGTGAGTTAACCCCAGTTTTTATACATTTTCGGAAACATTTTTAATAATGGAAAAGTGGCTTATAACAGGGACTTTGAAAAGGAAAGCAAGCGAAACAGATGATGCAACACTAACTGTGATACACGTGCTATAACGGCTAGTGAATGTGATACTACTAAAGTCGAAAAAGCAAGAAGTTCAAAAAAATATAGTAGGAAGTATTACAGTTCGTATTTGGAATTCGGGTTTTGGTGACGAAAGTGAACAGAAACCTCAGTGTGTTTTGTCTTGTGAAGTGTTGTTGAACGAGTGCATGAAACCTGCGAAACACCGACGACATTTACGAACTAAATATTGTAATGTGAAAAATAAGCCAGCTGAATTTTTTCAGCGACGCTTAGGGACATTAAATCAGGGGCAAAATATAGTTTCGGTCATGGGTTCGATTAATAGCAAGGCAGCTCTTAAGTTTGCTCATAGCCAAAACAGAGAAACTTCATTCTATCGGGGAAAATTTACTTTTTCCGGCTATAAAAGATGTGGTAAAAACATGTTTGGCAACAAGTTACTAAAATATGTTCATTTGATTCCTCTTTCAAAAGACGCTGTCGGTCTCATTAAAAGTAAGTAGTAACATAATTATATCATACTCTTTATTTCTTTAATAAAGATTAAAACTTTGTTCAATGATGATTCACTTTTAATAGTTTACTTGCAGTTTAATTAATTATGTTTCCATATGTATTCAAAACATACTTTTGGATTTATTATGTTATAAATAGTATAGTATGTCCAAAATGTTGGTAATACCACATAGGTTTAAAAAAATAAGTCTACACAACTTAGCGGTCCGTAGAATTTTTCAGACATTTTACGGATCATTGGGTTTAAAAAGGTTGAGAAACATTGCTCTAGCATGTCATTCGCTGCTGTTGTTGTTGTTGTTGTTGTTGTAATGTGTGTGTATGGGTACATCTGAGTGCATCTCCTGGTCACCCGAGTCAAAGTCCCGCTAGCATGATCCGAGGGGAATTACGTCGCGCCTTGAGCTAAAGCCTTCAAAACCCCCAACTGTTGGGTACGACCAAATTTCTATCTCCATAAAACTGTACCGTATTATCACGCTGCACATAACTTATTTATTGCTATTAGTTATTAACCGTCTCACATGCAACTTTCTTTTTGAAACATTTAACAGCTTTAAACTTTAAAATATCTTCTACATCATTCATAAGAGCTACACACGACACAATAACGGGAACCATCCAGCAACACAGGACACATGAACGCATAGATGAAGGCATACCCGCAAAATTTAACTTACAGACGGAAGCACAGTAGTTCCATCAGCAATTTTAAAGACATCTGAATGTGACAGATACTGGTCGAAACGTGTAGTGTCCGTACACCAGTGATGTAGGAGAGTTCTTAAAGTTCAAAATTTTCAAAAGTTCTATCTGCAGTTTAATCCCCTTTCCCGGGACTACTGCTGGCCCAAACATTCCCTCCTGATTAATTCCATATGCATGTGCGTTGTGTGCGCGCGCATGTCAAGGCAGAGAAATACGACAGAATGGACAGAGTCAGCACCAGTTTTTCTCTCTACCAGAACACTCAAAAAGGAAGCGGGTTTGGAACAACCTACCGAGCGTAACTTGAAAATTAAAGCAAATTTGGGGCGTTCTTCCTGAAGTAGGATTTGTGTTTGTGTGCTTAAGGCTAATGCCAAAACTGTACTGAGAACTGCAGCTGAAGACTCGCTCCTGCGCTCACGTAATGATGAATGCTGTACTGACATAGAGCCAGCTGATTCATACGCCATTTTCGCTACTCCATTTACAGGCATACGACTGGGAAATGCCGTTCCAAGGCGGTGATGTACGCAGTAAAAGCAGATCGAGATCTTTTGGTTCTATCACGAGAGGTACATATAATTGAATAATGAATAATGTCATGAGTTTGAGAGCGCTGAAAGCTGCGTGCTAAGGAGATCATTCCTATCTGAGAGACAGAAAGTAGCAGGAAGTACAATTGTACAATGCAGAAATTTGTGGTTTTACGTTTCATGATATATTATTAAAGTGATTCAAGTTTTGTGGCAAACCCAGAAGGTAAGAGAGAACTTCATGTAGGTTTGGAAGATAACATTAAGAAGAATGTTAGAGAACCACGAGTAGAATTGTATGCTATGGACTGGATTTATCTAGGTCAAAATTGAGGCCAGTGAAGAACTCTTGTGAACACTGTGATGGAAAGTTGGGTTCCATAACATGCTGGGAAATTTTTGAGTAGCTGAGCGACTGACGGCTTCTCAAGGACTCATTTCCATGAAGTTGGTTACTTAGATGAGGTAAAGGTGGGATGGGCGGGGCATGCAGCACGTATGTGAAAGACCTGTAATGCATACAAATCTGTATATATACACCGTTTTAACGTGTTTCGCAGTTTCGCATAATTTTCACTGAAAGATAAATCACGTGGGCAGTCACGTATTATGATTCACACATAACTGGATACACTTACGTAGAGCGACAAATGATATCTAGATATAGCACCATCGGCTTTAAGTTTCTCACATGAACCCGTATTTATTCGGGGCACGCGGTAGCGTAGTTGGTTGCTGGCTTCCCACCGCGGCGGCCCGGATTCGATCCCGGGGTCTGGCGAAGTGGGATTTTTGGTGGACAAAGTGGCGCTGGGGGGCGGGTTTTCTTCGAGTACTTCGGTTTCCCCTGCCAATCTTCATTCCACCAAATTCTCCATCATCATAATCGCTCTGGGCAGGCTACAATAGGCCAATCAGTGGCCGCCGTGCTGAGTGGACCCAGTTGGACTCCACCCCCACTAAGTGAAAAAAAAAGGACGTAGTTGGTTGAGGCACTATGCTACGAGCCGGAAGGTCCGGGATCGAATCCCGATTAGGTCATTGGATTTTTCAATTAACCTAAACCTTCCAGCCGCACTATGGCTCTGAGGTCGACTCAACCTCTAACAGAAATGCGTACCGGGAATTTTCCTTGGGACGTAAAGGGCGGCCAGAGCTTAAGGCTGACAACCTTACCGCCATCTATGAGCCGATTGTCTAGAAAATGTGGGAGCCTCGACCTCTCACACACCTATGGGACTTCACGGCCCGTTACAGGGATAGTTTTACCCTATTTTTGCCAGTATTTATTCAACTTAATCAATCGAGCATCAATTCGTTTATTATCTAGCAAAGTCTGAATATGTATTATTTTCCCTTGAGTGTTTATGTTTTCATGTCTCTGTCGAAATATTTACAAGAGATTGTTCCATTATTCATTCTAATAAATTTGAATTTATTTTCAATTCGATTTCTGTCTCTGCAAGTGATTCTCAGAATGGCAGCAGCCGAGGAACTTTAAGCTCTCACAGTCGTGGCTATTCAGATTGCCGCTTCCTGGGATATGGCATCTGTAATTGTTGTGGCAGATGATCACCAACGTTTCAGAGGAAAGTGCTGTATCTATGTTCTCGGTAAAAGTGGAGGCAGTGGCCTCGTCCGAAACATCATTAAACATCCACAAGACTACGGGATGTCACATCCCAGGCGGCAGCAATCCAGGCTAAAGAAGACTACTAATAAAATAAATTATGTTAAGTCCACTTTTACCTACAATTCTTACATCGAAGAACAACAAAACTGTTCTGCAGGCAATGGTGCAGAAATAAAGTTGTCCCTGTGCTAATTTATTAAGAACCACTCCATGAATAAGTACGAAGAGGAAAGGCATAGCTCCACCACTCTTCACCTCGACACTATACTGTGGCGTACAGACCCGTTGCTAAGCGGTGACTCTCTAAACAGCGACCATTTCTGGGCAACGGCTCTGTAAACTCGTTCCGTTGCTAGGCAGCAGATTCTTAATAGTGCAAAAGTTGGAGGAAACAATAGAAGAGCTGTGTTTTCTGTGAGGTCTGTGCTGATTTGTTATAAGAAATTGACGAAGTTAGTTCACTTGAAAGTCAGTCTGTAAAGAGAAGACTATGAGGTTGGCGTGAAATGGCCGCCTGTCTGGAAGTTAGTCATCTGAAGCATTGAGAAAATCGTACGGGAGTCTGTGAAGACTTGGAGTAGTCAGTTCAATTCTGTATGGGAGGCTGTGAAGAGAGGATCTGAGCGCATGGAGCTGAAGAGTCTCCACTGTTAGAAGCTGTTACCAGAGAACGGCCATTGAAGACACAGCTGGCTGGAAAAGGCTTAGCGGGTGCTGTGGTAATTTGTGAATTGTGGAGTTTGGCTTTGGCGCTGTAGTTCCGAGACGCGTGTATAAGTGGTTAATAAATCCATTTACCAATCCAAAACCCCGTCTGGAGGTGAGTGGCCATTTTCACGATCCGGCCGCTTTGTCCCTTAAAATGAGCCCCGGTACCCACTGGACAGGAGGCTGGGTGGGACCCAGAGCCCTTCTGGACGCTGCGGAGTAGAAGAAAATCTCTTACCCCTCCGGGAATCGAACACCTGCTGTCCGACCTGTAGCCCGTCGACTTACCGACTGAGCTATCCCGGGACTAATATAAGATTAAGGTAACAAAATTCTGGTAGTAGGGTACCATACAATATTGCTGTACTCGTAGTGTCTTGGTTTGGTCGTCGCAGACTCATTTTTAAGTTTATACGTAGTTGGGTGACGTGAAGAAGGTAAGGTGGGAGCTATCTGACAATGTACTGACTGGATTCACTGGCTAGCTTGGAATCTCTGATGCGGTGTCATCCCAAAGGGCGAGGCCTACATGTGACGTTCTGCAGATTATATCAGCAGAGGTTACGGGATCTTGTCACCTGCTGACTGGAATGCGTTACAAAAACAAACATTAATACACAGAAAATACTTTTCCTTTTACCTGAAGCTGTGATCTCGTCGAAGTCAGGATCATCCAGTGCTGATGTCAGCAGGTCCTCGCTGCTCATTGGCTGCTGCTGTCGCTGGCCTAGCATGGTTCTTGCAGGCTTCTCCCCCAAGCAGAGGAAGTGGAACGCTGAAGACACAGAAGTTGGCAGTCAGTCCACGGGTCCGCATAATGTATAGTGGGTTTATTAAGAAAATCATAAACATGTTTTCTGTCTAATACCTTAACCGTATGGAGGATGAATTTATTTCAGTACTTAAAAATTCATTTCCTACTTGAGAGGAAATATGTCTCCATTATAGGAAAGCCGGTTAATGCAGTTTAGGGAAATAGTTACCGTTTAATGTGAGGATCATGTGAAAAACACTTAGTTCCAAACTAGGCGGTAGGTAGGCCATGCTTGAATCAGTTAACTGCTTATACCACATGCTTCAGCGTTCATGTAACTGGACATTTTGTCCGCATGTTTAGTTGTTACGAAGTCCGATTTGTTTTCATGATATATCACAGAGCTATCCCTCCTCCTAAACGTCATTATGCCCACTTATCTTTGTAACGGAGATTCCGTATGTTTTCTTGGAGGTAAGGACAGACTTCTAAAACATAGTTAGATGATATTAATCTTAGAGGGTTGATCACAGTGGCCGCGCGGTCTGAGTCAAGAAGTGTCTTCGCTCGCGCGAACGCTGGAATCGTGGGTTAGAATCCCAGTTGAGGCATGGATGTCTCTGTGTGTTTGTGTTGTTCTGTGTGCAGGTAGCGGCCATGCGACGGGCTGATCCACCGTCCAAGGAGTCCTACTGAATGTGTGTATATTAAAAAAGAGGAAAAGCGGCTAAGATCCACAAGGGCTGTAGAGCCACAGATAGATAGAAAGATAGTCAGATAGACAGACAGACAGATAAATAGACAGACGGACAGATATATATATATAGATAGATAGATAGACAGACAGACAGACAGACAGACAGACAGACAGATAGATAGATAGATAGATAGATAGATAGATAGATAGATAGATAGAGAGATAGATAGATAGATAGATAGAGATTCATGTTACTAGCGTCCTCTCCTTTACACTAGTCTCCCAGGTAGTCTCTTCTCTTCGGTTCTTTAGGAGTGATATTTTCTATGCATATCTCATCCCTCCCTTGCATGCTACATGCCCTACTATTCTTACATTCCTTGCTTCATGGCCTTAATAATGAACAGCGAAAAGTAGCGTTGAGACAATGATCCTGCAACTGTAATAAATTACGTCAAGTCTAAGATGGATGTTCTTGTGTCCTGCGCGGGTGACAGCGCACTCGATTCGTATCCTTTCTGTGCCACTAACATAATACGAGCCAGATATGTGCAGTGGCACTTAGCTTTTCTTGGCAAAACGGCAACACCAGAAGTAATTAGAGTATTAGAGGAGCAACTCCGAGTGCTGGGAGATCCACTTCCCTCCCCAGTAACAGCAACGTCTCTTAAGAATCCTCTTCTCGGATCTTTCTCACAACGGGTTAATGTTTCCAAAATCAACAATGCCTTATATGAATGATTTTTTTTTTCGCTGCCTGTTTGTATCATGCTGTCTTCTCATTACAGCTAAATTTCATCGGCAGTCATAGGTTGTATTTTTGGGAAGATTTCATAAATTCAGAATCAATACACACAATTATTTCCTTATTTTCTCCTCCTCCCTACTCTTTTTATTCTACAATTCGATTTTGCTTTACTTTACGACTCCTCTTTCTCCATCTAATTCTTTCTTCTTTACTTTTTCACCATTTCCTTCGCCGTTCTACTCTTGGTCATCTTCATATATGGGAACACCTTGTGGAATATTAAGAATTTCCCCTATGCTTGAAGCTTCATCAGTAATGTAGTCTATGTGAGATGGTAACATTCTTGCTAGGATATGTTGCAGTAGAATGTCTACATCACTTGGTTTGGCACGTACAAGAAACACAGGATTTTCAAGTGTATTCAGGTGTCCGAACAGCTTTACCTCAACACGTACGTTCTCTTTCCCGATGCTACCCTCGATGCTGCATTCTGTATAAGACGACTATACAGAACTGACCACATATTAACAAGGATACATTTCCAATATTTGCACATGTAACATGCGTTAAACACTGTTTCTCCCTAGCAGAAAACTTTTCAATTTGTCACACTTGTGATTGCTAATATTGATCCCATGTGGGTTCAATACATTAAACCAAGTATTGCGTCCGGGGCGGCGTGTTAGAGGAGTGTAGGGCGAAGTATTGGGGGCGGGGGCCAAGTTCAAAATAATGTACGTTCTGCAATTACTATTCCAATGAAAGCCACCTGCTAAAATGAAGGGCACTGAGATGAAGAGTTCTATCTTATGGGATGTAACACCGTATAGTCCGCTGAAAGTTAATCGACGTTTCGGAAGAATATGTCGCCTCCATAATCAGGGTCGAAAAATAATCTGAATTCTGAATAGTTCTATATTCTGGGATATGGCACCTTGTAGTCCGCTGAAAGTTACTTGTTTGGCTTAGTCTGCGACCTTGAAGATGGAGGGTCCCGTGTTGAGGCGGGTTAGGATACCTCCACTGTAGCCCTGCGAGTCGCAGAAGGCGACGAAAGGGAAATTCGGCGCCTGGTGGTATAACTTGGCCACCCTATCGTGAGTTTTAGTTCGACGCAAGGCTGATGACCTTGTACTGCCGTGTAATCCAAAGAGGTGGAAACCGGATGCAAGGTGCCAGAATCCTTTCAGGAAGGCTATGGGTCCAAAAGGGCTGTTTTGCCGGTAATGATAATGATAAAAATAGAGGTGATGTGTTCCTCCGAAACGTCGGTTAACTTTCAAGGCGTTATATCCCAGAAGATAAAAATCTTCATCTGCCATTATGAATCAACAATGGGGCCACGCAGAAAAGAACTCCACATTTTCTCTAGCACTAGTGTAGCTATAGTATAGATATCACCACGCCACTTTCATTACACCCACACCACTGCGACTCTTTCTCTACACCTACGCCAATACTACACTTATATCACTACACTTACACTACACCTACATCACTACTACACCGTCACTACACTTACACTACTACACTTGCACTACACTCATATCAGTACTACACCTTCAGTACACTTACACTACACTCATATCAGTACTACACCTTCACTACACTTATATCACTACTACGCTTTCAATATACCTACATCACTACTACACTTTCAATACATCTAATTCACTACTACACTTTCACTACACTTATATCATTACTACACTCTCAATACAACTAATTCACTACTACACTTTCACTACATCTACATCACTACTACACGCTCACTACACTTACATCACTACTGCACCTTCACTACACTTACATCAGTACACTTTCACTTCACCTACATCACTACTACACCTTCACTACACTTACATCACTACACTTTCACTACACCTACACCACTACTACACCTTCACTACACCTATATCATTACTACACTTTCACTACAATTATATCACTACGACACTTACACTACTGATCGAAGTTGCTGNTACACTTGCACTACACTTATATCAGTACTACACCTTCACTACACTTACATCAGTACACTTTCACTTCACCTACATCACTACTACACCTTCACTACACTTACATCACTACACTTTCACTACACCTACACCACTACTACACCTTCACTACACCTATATCATTACTACACTTTCACTACAATTATATCACTACGACACTTACACTACTGATCGAAGTTGCTGTCCGTATGGAATGGAGTTACACCTGATATTGAGGGGCAAGGGACCGCCTACACAGGCATCCTCTTTCTTATATGTGCATGCATTGGTCACAGTCTCCCGTGTTTGGTTATCAATAGTTTTGCGTTGCAATTCATTTTGAACAGGTGGTATCTTAAAAGTAACCACAATTTTTCCGTACTCTTAATATCTAGGCAGTGCACGCAATACAGTATAAAGCTAACTGTTCGCAGCTACACCCCTCTGTGAAGCAATATCGGAATATGAACTCGCCCAAACCCATGGCGCACCCACAAATGACAGGCCGGGAAGAATAAATGGAACTGTATTTAGTTAAAGGAATTCTGCACAAAGAAGCAGTCATTGCAGTTTACTTATGTGTTATGTTAGAACAAACAGCGTGAATAGCGACGTGTTTAAATTGCGTGCTGGATTTGTCTTTTGTTCTCATTGGTTTCATTTGTTTGACTGTTGCTGAAGCTGGGCGAGTTCACTGGCAATGTGCACTGCGAGAGCAGCGGTTGGAGCTGCAGGCAAGCAAAGTTCTTGCAGTGTAATTTATTATCATGATGAAGTGATTTCAATGTTGTGTGTAAAATCACGCCTCGAGAGAAAGGAACAACAAATGCAAATCCTGTACAGTCAAAGTTAATGGAAACTGGCAAACAACGAACTAAGAGAAACGCTACATCAGTTCGGATGTCGAAATGATTTGGGTCGTCCAATCATGGAATGTATCCTTGTGTGTATAGCCGCTCGGTTCACTGGAATTCATGACTACTTGTGAGTGAACGATGGAACTGAAATAAAGTTCTTTTTGTTCTTCGGCACAATTGGTTCGATTAAAATCTGAGCTTCAAATTGCAGTGCTGTAAGAACTGCATGTAACAAATTTAAATATATAAGGAAGTTACCAATTAATTAGCTCTGTTGAATAGCCTATATATATATATATGACCTGCTGTTATTCGGCTCTCAAGTTTAATCCGCTTTACCCTGTCCTGAGCCACACAAATGCAGTCCACATCCTCAAACCTATTTAATCCGCTTTACCCTGTCCTGAGCCACACAAATGCAGTCCACATCCTCAAACCTATTTCTTTCAAATTCCCTTTTATTCTTCCCTGTACGCCTACGTGTTTCAAGTGGTTTCTTCTCTTCAGGTTTTCCAACCAAAGTTTTGTGTACATGCTACATGTTCATCCCCTTTCATCTTCCGAAATTTTGTCATATTAATAATGATTGGTGAAGAGTAGCCTGCAAATTATGAAGTTTCTCGATGCTTAATTTTCTCCAACTTCTACTTAAAAATATTCCAAATATACTCCTTAGCACCCTACTTCAAGACTTGAGTCAGTATGTGACTAGGCTACAGGTT